CCAAGAATTCCTTTTATGGTGATTCGAACTTTAGGTTTTTCTAAACAGTTTGGTCTCAAAGGTAATTTAGTAAATGTTCCCATGAACGTCGACACAAATGTTTCAATATTACCCAGAAGTTTTAGTGATACTTACACGATTCAATTGAAACTGATGAGACAAATGAAAAATAAAAATGCTTTTATGTATGAAACAATTCGACCAAAAGTCGTACACACAGCTGTTAAATATCTTGTTCAACAAGAACTTTATAAAGATGAAGGTATTGTTATATCTAATGATTGGATTAAAGAGTATCTCAATGAAAAAGAAACTTTCATAGTCAAAAACGATGATAAAAAGTTTAATCCGACTGAAAATACGGAAGAAGATTCCGATCATGACGATAATTGAAATGAAAGTGAGGATAAACCAATTAATCGTTGTTGAATGATGAGACCGAGGATCAAACTGATACTGGTATTAAATTTGCTCCAGGAGAGAATAATAGACCGATATCTGTTTTAATGGATTTGAAAGTCGATGAGCTAACATTTCCAAAAATCTATTGTGGAAAACAACAAAAAATTAAAGAAAATGTCAAATTAACGTATGCTAAAATTGCTAAATCAGAATTAAGAATGTTTGATAGAAGATGTGGTAGAGTGTCAAAACTCTTTTTCACATATAAGAAACTACAAACGAGAAAATTCGTTGATGCTATTTCAATAAATTTGAGAAAAACAAAAAATACAAAAACGTAACTGTTAACCAAATGCTTAATCGAGATTATGTAAATGGATTAGTACATAATGATGATGCCTTTGCATTCTTGAGATTTGATCGATCTTCACCAGCATTCTGGGAACTAAAAAAGAAAGAACTTATGGCTATGAATAGGCAATTAGAATGTGCAACAATGTTTTTAACATTATCAGCTGCTGAAACACAGTGGTCAGAACTTCTTGTCATATTGACTAAAGTGTTAGAAAATAAAGTAATAACATTAGAAGAAGCACAAAATTTGAGCTATGAGAAGAGATGCGAATTGATAAGACAAGATCCGGTAACATGTGTTCGCTATTTTGAGCATAAATTAAAATGTTTATGGGAAATATTATCAGCTCCTCGTGGTCCATTTCAAGGATATGAATTAGTAGACAAAGATGTCAGAACTGAATTTCAAGTTCGTGGTTCACCACATGTTCATGCTTTATTATGGTTAAAGAATGCTCCAAAATATGACAAAAATAATCCTGAATCAATTGAAAGATGTGTAGAATTTATTGATAAATTGATTTCAGTTAGTTATCAGCCAACGGAATGTTCTGAAGAACTTATCAGTTTACAACGTCATAAGCACTCACATACTTGTAAACAACATGTAAACGGTTGTATAATATGTCGTTTTGGTATTCCATATTTTCCGATGAGTAAAACGATGATATTAGAACCGTTTAGTGATGATGAAAAGCTCTCTAAAAAAGAACGTGAAGAGATAAGTAAGAGTAGATAGAATGTAAAAGAAGAACTCGACAGAATATCAAAAGATAAAGATACTTCATTAACTTTTGAAGAGTTTTTGAAAAAAAATAATATGAATGAAGAGCAGTATATTAAAATGATTCGAGCTGGATTAAAAAAGGCGAAAGTATTCTTAAAACGTGCTCCAAATGAGATCCGAATCAATGCATACAATCCAATGATAATGTCATTGCACAGAGCAAATATGGACATTCAATATATTCTTGATCCTTATACATGCTTAAAGTACTGTGTTGAATACATCAACAAATCTGAAAATGGAATATCTAAGCTTCTAAGGGAAGTATTGAACGAGTTAAAAAAAGGCAATCACACAGTCACAGAACGTCTAAGAGTTATTGCAAATAAGTTTTTGAATTCAAGTGAAATTTCAGCACAAGAAGCTGTTTATCATATTTTAAGTATTCCACTTTCCGTCAGTAGCAGGAGTACTGTATTTATTAATACAAATAGACCCGAAAATAGAATTTCCATGCTAAAATCAGATGAAATTCTTCACGAACTGGAGCCTGATTCAAAACATGTTTTTGTTGAAGGTTTAATTGACATGTACATTAATAGACCAGACGAAATGAAAGATGTTTGTTTGGCTGATTTTGCTGCTTTGTATAATGTGTCAAAGAGAAAAGTAGATAATGCTCCAATTGCAGAAAATTGTGATAATGAAGATGCTACTGAAAATGAAAATGACGAAAAAATTACTGCTTTCAAGATGAAAAATGGAAAAGGTTGGATCAAAAAAAGAACAAAGAAAAAAATAATAAGATACAGATACTTTAAGTTACTTTAGGATCCTGAAAACTACTACAGAGAGCAGTTGATGCTTTTTCTACCATGGAGTAATGAAGAAGAAGATTTTCTTTCTATAAATCATGAAGAGACATTTGAATTACATAAAGATTTAATTCAACAGAAAAGATCTAAATATGTTCATCGTGAAGCCAGTGAATTTGAGACAGCTTTTGAAGAACATATGGAAAGCGAAGATGAGAATGATATTGACGATAGAAATATTGAATATGATCAAGATAAAAATGAATTCCTCATTTATGAAATAGGAAATAATGCAGGCGATATCTTTGTTGAAATGGGACTAAAGACCCAAACTGAAAAAGTAGAGCATTTTAATGTTCCCAAAGTAATACCAGATACTGAATATCAACAAATGATGAGAAGTCTCAATAATAATCAAAGAACACTCTAAATAAAATAGGTGGTCTACTGAACTCTCGAAAAAGGTTTCGTCGCGACGAAAGAGTCTCCAAACATGTTCAAAGTTTGAAAAACACAATAAAAAATTCTACCAAACCATTAAAGGATCTTCCCGTGTATCGGGGGGAAGAACCTTTACCTACGAAACCTTTTTTTAAGTTCAGGGCACCAAAAAAAGGTTTCGTGGAAAAATACGAAGCTTTTATGGTTTCGTATTAAACTACACAAGAAACTTAGGGTTTAGTACGAAACTATTAAGGTTTCAACTGAAACTCTAAAGGTTTCGTATTTTACTACGAAACCTCTTTCTGGTGCCCTGAACTTAAAAAAAGGTTTCGTAGGTAAAGGTTCTTCCCCCCGATACACGGGAAGATCCTTTAATGGTTTGGTAGAATTTTTTATTGTGTTTTTCAAACTTTGAACATGTTTGGAGACTCTTTCGTCGCGACGAAACCTTTTTCGAGAGTTCAGTAGACCACCTATTTTATTTAGAGTGAAGATATACTTTGAATGTGATGAATTTGATAAAAATGGAGATAAGCAATTTTTTCATTTTATTAATGGCGGTGCAGGCGTTGGTAAAAGTACTTTGATCAAAGCAATATATCAGTCGATACTGAGATTTTATAATTCTCTTCCTGGATGTAATCCAGAAACTATTCGTACTGCACTCTGTGCGCCAACTGGTAAAGCTGCAGCACTAATTGATGGAATGACTTTACATTCATTTTTAAGTTTACCAGTTAATCAATGCAAACATAAACTCGTTCAGCTAAATAGCGATATTTCGAATAGAATAGGAGTGAAATTGAAAGACTTGCAATTATTAATAATAGACGAGATATCAATGGTTGGTTTTATAATGTTTCAACATATCGATGCACGTTTGCAGCAAATAATGAGAACAAAAAAGCCATTTGGTGGAGTATCAGTCATGGTTTTAGGCGATTTCAATCAATTAAGACCAGTTGGGGATAAATACATATTCCAGTTTAATAATTCATACAATGCTTTAGTCGATAGTTCATTATGGTCACTATTTGAATTGTTTGAATTGACAGAAATAATGAGACAAAAGGATGATAAAACTTTTGCCATTGCATTAAGTAACTTAGCTAAAGGAACGATGACAGCTGAAGATATTCATCTGTTAAAGTCACGAATTGTTTCAACTGAAAATTTAGAAACGATTGGAGATGCA